GGACAGGAGAGAAGGTGGAGGTTAAATCACTCCATCAGAACTGCTTTCCAAACGGTCAAATTGCTTCGGACCCTAATCGGGGCCCAACTGCTCTTTTTTTGGCCCCGGGGCCCCCTAGCAGGTTGATCCGGCTGTGCACATCCCTCTAATGTTTTTGTTTGTTTGCTCTTGTCTCCCAGGACCAGTACAAGTTTTGCTATGAAGTGGCGCTGGAGTACTTGAACTCTGGGTAACTCGGAGTCCCTGAACCCACCAGAGACTTTAAAGTTTGGAACATTACAGAGGACTGCAGCTCACATGTGTGCATTGTGCTCGGAGTGTGTGAGTGTGTGTGTGTGTTACCAACCCGACAGGAGCTAAGGTACACACACACAACCGTACATGCGGCTCCTTTGACCAGCTCTCATTGGTCTAGATGGGGGGAAAGGTAACAGAGATGTACAGTGTTAAATATCGCAGCCTGTTTTTGTCAGCACCGGCTAAGGAAGCCAGCAGGAGCACAATGAGGTTTTTTTTTTTTTTTCCCTCGCTGCAGTGAGTCGCGCCTCCTCTCTGGATCCCTCTTTCTGTCTGCCTCTATCTCTCTCAGCCGCCTGTAGTCCCGTGGTTGTTGCCTTGATCCTCATTGGATGATGAGCGTTAAATACTCTCCAGTTTTCTGTTGGAATGCGATACACTGTACATAATGTTAATGTGTTCATTTATTTCTCTCAGATTTCTGATTTTTTTTTTTTTTTTTTTTTTTTAAATTTGCTCAGCTCATTATTATAAGTCATTAAACGCAGGAGCTCGAAGCCTAAATGTTACTAAATGTCCTGTAAACTTATGACTTCTAGATGATTTTTGCTTCACGCTGTATGTTGGGGACAGCCGGCTCCGTCTACATCTGCTTACCTTATTTCCTGTACAGGGATCCAAAGCTTTATTTGCACTTCCATTTGAATTCTTGTTGTGCATATTGTACATATTTCTGTAGATTATTTATTCACAGTATGTACTTTTTTTGTGATTCGCAGTAAGTGACAATCATATGTTCTATAGGTTTGGTTTATTGATTGTACTGTGTGCTTTTTTTTGGTCATCTTGTGTGACAGATCAATTCCACTGTAAAGAAAAAAAGATATTATATAAATGTATCTACAATATAAAACATTGGATTATTTATTTCTGCCTCTTTTCTGAGTGGAGCTGCAAAAGATGACATCAGGGGGACATCTGCTGGAGAGATGAGGAATGACAATCACCTCCATGATATCAACTTGTAAAGGTGCCACAGTGTTGATCAGTTTACATGTTATACTACGATTATACTGTTATATTGACTTCCTAAAAACATGAAGGACACAGCAGTGTACACTGTGGCAAGCTCTGTGACCATCCCCATTGCTCTGGATGCACATTTATACTTTAGATGATAACCTGTGCAAGCCTTTGTGAGAACGTAGAACAAAAATCCTGAATTATTTTGGTGGTTAACTTGTCACCTCACAGCAAGAGGGTGATGTTCTCCCTGTGTCAGCGTGGGTTTTCTCCAGGTACTCCGGCTTCCTCCCACAGTCCAAAGACATACAGGTTAATTGGTGACTCTAAATTGTCCGTAGGTGTGAATGTGAGTGTGAATGGTTGTCTGTCTCTATGTGTCAGCCCTGTGATAGTCTGGTGACCTGTCCAGGGTGTACCCTGCCTCTCGCCCAGTGTCAGCTGGGATAGGCTCCAGCCCCCTACGACCCAGTAGTTACAGAAAATGAATACATGAATGAATGCATGAATGAAGGCACACAGAACATATGTTCATGTTTTCCTATAATTTGTATATTTAGTTTCACAGCTGTGTATGTGGAAATGATAATCTGCCTTGTTGGGCATCCCATGTTGTAAGATCCTACATTGATCGGAGCAGATTTCTGTTGTTAGACATAATTAAGTAAACTAACTAAATATTAGGATATTCTTATGATAACATTATGATGGTCATTTTGAGAATTTATCGGATAAAAGCCATTTGAAAATCCGCAGGGAGGTGTAACGTTAGACGTGGTTGCAGCAGTAAAAATAACAAAACTCAAAGTGTATCTTAAAATCATCTCTGTTTGAAGAAACAACTAGGCTTGAAGTCTCCTGCAGGTGTATATTGGGGTTAAGAAGACAAAGATTAGGTTAATATGCAAGTTTTTAGTTTATGATTTTGTTAGCTTATCCCAAAATGGACAAGATGACTCAATGCGAGTTCACACAATGCAGGCATCACATACACTGTGTGACGCAGGATGTAAGGCACCGCTCCTGGGTGAAATACCAAGCTTTTAGGGATCATCATTGCACTCACACTACATGCAGAGGGATTGTATAGTACAGTTACAGCTACACTTTTTAACCATTTACAACAATAAAATTAAACCAAACTTATGATAAAGATATAAATAGAACTCAGTGTCTTCTGTGTAACCTTTGCAGTGACAATGTTAGAGAAATTGAGAAACTGGAGTCCCAGGGCGCCCACTAGTTCACCTGGTAGAGCATGCACCCCATGTACAAAGGCTGCATCCCTGCTGGAGCGGCCGCAGGCTCGATTCCAACCCATGAGCCTTGCACGCCATCCCCACTCTCTCCTCCCTCTCTCCCCCCTTCCACATTGTATCTGTCCTATCAAATAAAGGCAAACAGTCCATAAATATATCCTAAAAAAATACACGAGTTCAGCAAAGCAGTACCTGTTAACATTAGTTTAGCTAACTCAAAGGTGACATTGCCGTAAGCTGAAAAGACTTATAAGAAAAAATAAGTGCACATACCTCAGCCACAGCCGTGCCTCTCTCCAGGGTGCCAGCTGGTGCAGGATAAACCACGTGAACCAAAAAGGAAATCAACTTTCTAGCACACAGTGGGGTGCTCAGGTTGACTTATTTTATTGACGGCATACATTAAAAACATAAAGACCTTAAAAACCTTTTTACATTAAACGCTCACATTAAAGACCTTCTTTGTTTTTGATGTAAGCTGCCAATAAAAGAAGTGTCGAAGTGAGAGTCCTGGTGTGTGCTGGAACTTTGATTTCCTTTTTGGTTCATGGACTTCAAAGAAAGAGTTAGGAGTGAAACCCACATTTGACTGCAGCAAAGTTATCATCATCTTTTTTCTCTCTTGAGTGCTTTTGCCACAGAATTGACTCCATACACACAGCAACATAGCAAAGGCTAATGATAGCATCCAACGAGTTAGCTCACAGTAGGGTTAGTCACAGTGGTGTAAGGTGATTGTGACGGGCCCCAGTGCACGCTGTTATGGAGGGCCTGCTCTCTCAATGGGCCCTTCACCTCATGGGACCCAGTGCAACCGAGCTGCCTTCACTGTCTGTATTTACACCCCTGGTTAGTTGCACACAAACTAGCAAAGTAGCTACTTAGGTCTGCCTCCAAAACTCAGGACATGTTAAGTGTTTGAGTAAACCTTGACTTCTGTTTTATTCATCTGCAAGTAACACATGGTGTATTTTAATGGTAAATACTGTACTTTTTACTCCACTATGCTACATGTATTTTACAGTGTGAATTAAACATATACCTTACAGATTTAGATTTGCAGGTTTAACATATAATGAGCTCATAATGAACTGTTAAGGATTATGTACGTCAAAGAGGTTGGACCACTGCAGTTTAATCTTTAACATTAGTGTATTTTATAAGCTTGTCATGTGTTGCTTTATGTACATAATATGAAAAGCTGCAAGATAGTGGAGCAAAAGGTGCAATAATATTTCCCTCTAGTGGAGTAGAGGTAGAAGTAGAAAATGTGCTCAAACTCTCGTATTCACTATTCTATCCTACAACTTTATGGTCAAATAATATTTGTTGCCTACTTCACTGTATGACTAAATGTTGAGATTAGTTTTTTCCTTTTTACAAAATCAAATGTTTTACAGGTTTTGTCAGAAAATACTTAGTTTTGTCAGCTTTAACTAAACAAGAGAAAAATGATTCCTCTATTAAAAAAGCTTCTTCTGTGTCTGGATGTTTGTCAGCAGGCCCGTTGTCAGGGGGGTGAAAAGGTACAGATGACCCCAGCACAAGGCAAAGGAAGGCTCATGAGCAGGTCTATGGTTGACACTTAAACGGGGTCATTTACTGAGTGAATACATTCACTGATAATACAAGTTATATATATTTAAAGGGATAGTGCACCCCAAAGTGAAAATTGCAGAAATCCCAGGGGAGAGGGGGTCACAACACAACTTCACCTAATGGCTGACGGCGACCCAGATTCAAACATCCAAGAACACATAATTGAAATCACAAAATATCTCCATAGCTTGTCCGTAGTGATCCAAGTGTCCTGAAGCCCCAACATAAAAAGTTGTTTGGAAAAACATCATTTGAACTCTGTTTTTAGCCTCATTGTAGCCTGTTGTGTTGCTACCCACTCTCCCCTGTGATCTCCGCAAGTGTTGTGAGGACTCTGAAACTTCACCTGAGCCTCCCTCAGCATATGGGTGAGTTGATAATGGCTGAATATTCATTTTTGGGTGCGCTATCCCTTTAAATGATTAATTAATGTCATTTTATTATTAAAACACATTTCAACCTGCCATCTGATGCTCCCACCCCATTTGAATATGTCTGCATACTGTGGTCTCTAAACAGTCTTGTTGTTCACTCCTGATTTAACCCTTTGATTTAATACCTTGCAGTAATTTCTTCAGTTAGTGTTTGATTTCACTTTTCTCTAATCATTCATTGGAGGACATTTTTTCAGCCCAGGACACATGTCACTACTTCTGCCTTTCAAAATAAGAAAACAAGGTCCTAACAGTAGCTACAAGTACAAGTAGATACAAAATACACATGGAGATATGATTAATTGATTTACATTTGCAGGGAGTATAAATATATATGAGGGCCCCTGCCTGTATTTCCTAAAGGCTGGCCTGTTTGTCAGGAATACATTCTAACATGTAACAGCAGATACAGTGTGATAATGGACAGTAAAGAGACAATGCACTCCACATGGACTTTTATTTAAACCAAATTACTTTACATCAAAACACAAAGTGAACTGCTGCTGCTGTTGGTATAAAAAACAAGGCTGTCTGGCTCCATCTTGTGGCTGCATTATGAAGCACTTGGAACATCAGATCATAAGCAGATATTTGTAAGCACAGGGTATCTCTAAAGACCTGAATCTTTTAATTTAGCTGATACATTTATTTAACTGATATGAAGTCTGTGTCACTAGGAAACACTGCATGTTTACAGAAGATTATTTGTTCTGCAAATGTACCTCATCTAACAAAGCAATAGTTACAGGAGAAGATTGACGATTGACACCACCGTCTTCTCTGTGGTAAATAAAAAGCTACAACCAGCAGAGAGTTAGCTTAGGGTGGAAACAGCTATAGCCTCACTCTGTACAAAGGTAAGAAACAAAATCCACCTACGGTACCAACACCTCTGAAGCTCACTAATTAACACAGTGTATCTCGTTTGATCAGTCTGTGTAAACATGCCAATTTGTCATTAAAGCGGAGACTCCACAGTGGTGATGCTCTCAGCCAAACCTCCCCCATGAAACTGTTGCTTTTACACTTTTTAAAATGTATCTACAGATGAAACAAAGGAGATATCAAGTGTTAGGGAGCTTTAGCAGGGCTGGTGACTCAGAGAAGATACCTTAATATTGTAAGTGTATGTGTCATGATCTGCTTATGATTTCGAAACAGGCAACTCATTGAGGTTAGATAAGATCAGCAAGAAGAGAACGAATTACAAGGTTGTGGGGGGAAAAGTAGATTACTATACTTTTACATCCAAAATAGAAAACATACGCAACAATTATGAACCAATAAGCAGATAGTATCATTTTCTGTGATGAGATCTGTTCTTGGGGTGATTTTTAGTTGGTTGTCAAGTGGGAACACGGTGTCGGTGTATTGCTCCAGTATACCATCAAGACACTACTGGTCCTGGAGAGAGAGAGAGAGAGAGACACACACACACACACACACAGTGTAACTTCTGCAATTTACATAAAGGGAAGCTATTGCAAACACCAGCCCCCCTTGAGGTTCATTGTGGTTAATTTCTGCAGACTTTCAATTAAAGTGTGTCTTATTGCATAAAACTCTTTATCCCACATGCATGACACTAACTCAGCTGTAAGTGTCACGTTTTACTTTGTCTATTTGACAAAGAACACAGCTGCCCTAAGACACAAGAGCATTTGGCACATTTTCTTCAGCGATAATCACTGTAGAACGTCCAAGGTTGACGAAAAGTATCATCTCACTTTTTATACACACAGATGCAGCTAAGAAAATGTAGGAAATAAAACTTGTATCCTTTTGTGTCTTTTGTTGAAAGTCTATGTTTGCATGTAAATCACATCTCTCTCAGCTCGTCTCTACATGAAGCACAAATAAAGTTATGTTGGAAAGGAAAATACACTCAGAGTCAAACAAGTTTACCGGGAAGCCACATGCCCCTGGTTTCCCGTGACATCCTCCATGTTTGGGCTTTTTCTTCTTTGATTTGTATTTTCTTGTCCAAATCTTCACCTACAGTGAGACAAAATGAGCATTATAGTGACAAAGTGCGTTACTTCACACAGAACATCACCTTGACGGTTCCATTATGCATTTTAAATTGTAATCTTTGTGGATAGAAATGATTGCAAATCCAAACAGAGCTACTTTTCATACTGTATCTCTCTTTCTCAGCAACATGTTTGACATTCACACCCAAAAAGTCCAACAAGGAAACACCATGTGAATCAGTCGATACAGTCAGTGACCAGCATTGAATCTTCTTACCCCAACAACAGCCTGTTGCTGAAGATCATTTCTCTCCAGAGTGGTTGGATCAGTAGAATTGAAGGCTGTGATGAGCAGAAGAGCCTGCAGACACAGCAGGACCAGCAGCACACTTTTGTCCATGGCTGATGAACTGAAGCCCAAACAAAGCCCACATTTATGCTTGCTAACTATAACCAATGTGTACAAAGAGGAAGCTGTAAGAGAATGTCAGCCATGTTGCATTACTATCAGCAAGATGCAAGTCATTATCAGTAAGACACTTGCTGATTGTAAGTGTTGATAAGCAGTGATGGGCGGTGTACTTTTTCTTAGCTTCACCAAAAGTGAAGGGGAGAATATGGAAGTAAGTAAGTAAGTAAGTAAATTTATTTATATAGCACTTCTCACAGAGAGGACTCACAAAGTGCTTCACAAGATAAAATACAAAAAATACAATAACAGAAACAATGCAAAATACACAAAAACAAATAAAAAGTAAAGTGCAGCGAAATACAGAGATGATACAATGGACAATTAATGGAACGCAAGCCTAAACAGATGTGTTTTTAACTGCTTTTTAAAAATGTCCACGGAAGAGGCCGCTCTCAGCTCATGAGGTAGTGCATTCCACCATTTCGGTGCAACAGCCTTAAAGGCTCTATCACCTTTCGTCTTTAATCTTGTATGAGGGACAGTAAGTAGGTGGCCTTCAGCGGACCGCAGTGACCTGACAGGACAGTGAAAGGACACCAGATCCGTCAAGTATGCAGGAGCTTGACCATGGAGGGCTCTGTAAGTGATGGTTAGAATCTTATGCTGGATCCTGAAATTAACAGGGAGACAGTGCAAGGATGCCAGGACTGGAGTGATGTGAGTGAACTTATGAGATCTGGACAGAAGCCTGGCGGCAGCGTTCTGGACCAGCTGGAGGTGGTCTAATGAAGTTTTATTTAGACAGTGAAAAGAGAATTACAGTAATCTAGACGTAAGGAAATAAAAGCATGCATGATCATTTCTAGCTCGAAATAAGTTAACATGGATCTGAGTTCGGAAATGTTTTTGAGGTGGAAAAAGCAGGAGCGAGTGACAGTTTTGATGTGGTCATCGAAGAGCATGGCCTGATCAAATGTGACCCCAAGGTTTCTCAACTTGGGGCGCACATTTGCACTGAGGGACCCTAAGCAGCTGGCCACTTTAGATGCTGAGGCATCAGGTGCAATAATTAAAATCTCAGTTTTAGCTGCGTTCAACTGAAGGGAGTTAGAAGACATCCAGTCCTTAATTACATTCATACAACCTTACAGTGAGTCAATTCCATCGGTCCTATCAGGGTTAAAAGAAAAATATAACTGGAGGTCATCCGCATACATATGGTATGAGATACCTTCAAAATTGCTGATGACATCTCTGAGAGGGAGCATGTATAGCGTAAAGAGGATAGGCCCAAGCACTGAACCTTGGGGCACCCC